CCACCCTTGTTTCTTTAGTTTTCTGTTTTCATTTCAAAAAAAAAAGGACATTGGGGACGATTATTATTTTGTTATTGTGTTAATTTAATAGGTTGATTGGACACTCTAAATTGTCCTTAGGTCTGAGTATGGGCACGGATGGTTGTTTGTCAATGTGTGCCCTGCGACTGGCTGGCACCAGTTCAGGGTGTCCCCCGCCTACTGCCCGAAGACAGCTGAGACAGGCTCCAGCACGGCCCGCGACCCTTGTGAGGATAAAGCGGATCGGAAAATGGATGAATACATGCGTTAATTTTATTCATTCAATGGATCAATAATTTATAAAAATTATGTGTGGATTTGTAGCTTACATCGATGTGCATGTGTCTGGTGCCTGTGGAAGACACATCCGTACATCGATAAAATAGATGTATTGTTTGATTGACCTAATCGAAAAGACTTGCTTTCTTTTACTACAGTGAAAACAGTCGGTAAAGCCTAAGTGATACATGGGCACAGTGAGTCGAATGAAAGAAAACGAAACTGAAAGCCAGTTGTTTCCATATTCACACTGTTTTGCATGAAGGAGTGCTAGCATTTTATTCGGAATTGACACGATAAATGTTATCTTCATTCATATTTGTTTTTATCACGATTTATTTGATCATCTTAGCTTCTCTGTGTGTAATTAATCTATTCAGAAATTATTTGTAATTAAACATATTTTCATCCTTAATTTTATATTGCGATATGCACTATTACTGTGAAGGGATGCAGTTGATACCGCGATATGAATTTTGGGCCATGTCACTTTTGTCAAATGCCCTCTTAAAGCGCACTAATGTGCCGTTGTACACTTGCTGTCACGATTCGGTTTCTGGTCTGTCCAGCAGGTGGCATGTGCGGTCTTCTGTGCACCCCTCAGCCCAATATAGTCATTATGGGACTATGTATTTAAGGACTCTGCTTCAGTTCACCTGTGTCGGAGTATTGTTTATTGCCGTTTCCATGCTCTCAGACCGCTTTTGCTATAGACATCGTCGTGTTTAAAGCGCACTAATGTGCCGTTGTACACTTGCTTTCGTTGTTTCACACTAAACAGTCAAAAAAATTAAGAAATGATCTTTTTAGTCATAGTCACAGCATTTTATCATTAGGCTACCTGAAGTTAGCATGATAGCAAGCTAGCAATCAGTTAGCAAACTTACCTTCAAAGTTGCAGTGGTACTATCAGACATAAGACTTGAAATAAATAAATAGTAATTCCAGCGGTGAGCAACATAACTTTGACAAGCTTCACTTGAATGGAAGTTCACATGCCAACACGCAACACGGAAGTGCCGCGTGTATTCAGTCGAGATCGAGACGCAAACGCCAAATGTGTTGTTGGACAGCTTGGGGCACTGGAATGTAGTGCCCCACCTTGGTCTTTTCTCTTGCATTCAAGAGGAGCTACTGTTCATGTCAAACATTTAACAAGAGCTAATGGCCCCTTTATCCTATTTGAAATAACTTCATTCATCATTAGCTATGTACTATTTCAAGAGCTAATGTAAAATAGTTGGACATGAAATATATAAATTTTATTGTCAATACAGTATATTTTTTAAACTTTGTGACTTCAAGGAAAGTAATGTGGTGACCACCATGTGTGCAGTTGCAGCTCCCTGGCACCCTGTATTGATTCGCCGCCACTGATGCAATTGTGTTGTTGTTTTTTTTTTTTTCACCATTCGGCAGAAAACATAATCACATCTCCACAATCATTGCATTTTGGGACATTATTAAACCACCCTGGAGATATCAGGCAATCACTTGTTACTGGGAGCCCGAGTGACAGTGAATGAGATATTTGTTAAGAATGAGACAAGGGTATCAGTTCTAAAATATTACATAACAAGATCTGACAGGTTCCAATTTCATCTTGCTGATTGACCCCTTATGGCCTTTCTCAGGAAAAAAAAGTGTTTTTGTTATTTTGTTTTGCAATATTATATTTCAAAGATCTTTTCTCTACTCAGGCGATTTTGAGCCACATTTGGGACAGCAATTACAGGAAGGAACACAATGATGACAAAATTGTCGGGAGCAATTACGACTCAGGACATTATTCAAGAACAATGCAAGTCGAGGGATATTTGCTACACAGCCAGACTACCGAATTCGTTAAATTCACGTTATAGGTTAGCATTAAAAAAAAAATTCAAGGTACATTTTAATGACTTCAACCGGAATATGGCCCAACAAATTTCAATCGTTATGTGTGGTCTGATTAGGTGCTAATTCAATTTTAATTTAGGTGAATATCTGGATAAAAGCACAGATTTAGTTGTTTCTTTTCATTCTTATTGCTAAATAGCCCGTTGCATTGTGACTAAGTTGAACAGTGAGCTTCCAGATCCATCCAATGGAGCCACGGAATTTATGTTTTTATTTTGTTTTTGTGCGGCTGACACTCATTTTGTAATCTATATTAAAAGCATTTACACGACTGGAGTTGAACATCATAATCTTGTATTTTATGATTAATTTTATTAACTGGGGCGGCCCGGTGGTCCAGTGGTTGCGTTGACCTCACAGTGCAGAGGTACCGGGTTTGATTCCGGCTCCAGCCCCCCTGTGTGAAGTTTGCATGTTCTCCCCGTGCCTGCGTGGGTTTTCTCTGGGTACTCCGGTTTCCTCCCACATTCCAAAAAACATGTGTGGCCGGTTAATGGAACACTCTAACTTGCCCCTAGGTGTGAGTGTGAGCGTGGATGGTTGTTTGTCTCTGTGTGCCCTGCGATTGGCTGGCAAACGGTTCAGGGTGTCCCCCGCCTACTGCCCGAAGACGGCTGGGATAGGCTCCAGCACCCACCGCGACCCTTGTGAGGATAAAGCAGATCAGAAAATGGATGGATGGAATTTATTTAACTGACAAAGACAGCATCCCATGATTTAGCTTTTTTTTTTCTTGTCAGCGGTCTGCACAGTACATAACACTCATTCTGATGTCTCCCAACAGCCTACGAGGTATTGTATTTTCCCTCCTGAAAGTGGAAAGATTCTCGATAACCTTAAAGTAAGTCAAAGTCAAACTTCAAATGGCCATCACACAAGCCTTACTCCAAATTTAGCTCTCGTATGATTACATTTACTCTGAGATTACATTTATTCTGTGGCAGTGTAAACACCTTCTGTGCAAATTATGAATTGGGGCCTTGTAATGGGCCCTGGCAAGGAGCTGCATGTATTTGTGATGTGTAATAAGGGCAGTGCTGGGTTAGCAGCACCTGGAGTGATTGCAGCAGCTGGACAAATGCCTTGGGCCACCTGTAATAAATGAAAACAGTGAAAGGGGAAGGACACCCAGGCAACATTTGGTATATGAACCACATATGCAATGATTCGTGTAATTCAAGGCACATAGAACACCAGGATGTGATGTTGAAGTAAAAACACAATAGCCATGGGAATTTATGAACATTTTATGTATATAGCTTTCTTTCTTTTTAGAAAAAAAAAACATGTTTTTTTCCCTTTTTTTTTTTTTGTTTAAATCCTTGAGTCGCAGAATCATGACTAAGCCAAGTCACGCACAGACATTTTATTCTTTGCAGCGTGAAAAGGGATGTTACAAGTTGACACAAATAGAACTAGTCAGTTAAATTGTCCATTCACAAAATACAAATGTATCTTTTATCAACAATGGGGTCACTTCTTGGGATATTGTAGTTGTATTTGTCTTTTTGGTAACCCCCAACTCAGTGGAGGCAAAAGGTACTGTAGAACGCATGACCGATTTGATAATATGACTAATTGAGAGGAAACAAAAGACAATGTCTGTCAGGAAAGATTTTTATTCATTTGTTTGTATGATTTCAGTGATTTTTTTTTTTTAATCGATATTTTAAGACCAAGTACTTTGCCACTTGTCTTCCTGTTTTGGAAATTCCCATTTCACTGAGCCAGCTAAAAACGACCAAGTTAGTACACCACAGCAAAGCACCCTCACTGTTTGCTTGCAATGAAAATAAAAACACCACCAAATGATTTCCCCACATTTACATTCCACCCAGTTATTTGTACAAAATATGCCAATATACAGAATGCTACACCTAGCGATCAAAACAAATTGAGAAACAGAATCAGATGCAGCAAAAACCGACAGGATATCGAGAAAGGCATCAAAATGGGGAGTGGATATATCTCACTTAGGCCATAATTCTAAATAGCCACCAATTAAAAAGAAGTATAATTTACAGCTCTAAATGAAAGAGAATGAATGATGTACAGCTCATTGGATGACTCAACTCAAGCAATCTATAGCGCAGCAGCTGATTCTTTGCCGTTCTCTTCCATGCCATCTGGTTTTATAGTTTTGAGAAGCTTTGCCCATGATATGCAACATTTCCAATTTTGCCCCAAGTATTGATATGCAGGGCTCATTGTGGACATAGCCAGACTGTAATATCCTTATTTTTGGCATTGCCAAAAATAAACCATGAAGAATGATGAGGCTGAAATTCATCTGACTTTTGTCATCACCTTTAACTGAGGAATACAAAGCATATGAAAGTGAACGGAGTTTGGCTAAAAATGATTTGATCTGCTTTGTGCTACATTTCTTTGAAACGTGTGCAAACGAGTCCATATCTGTCCTACTTTGACCCATTTATTGCCTTGTCTATTTCAGTACAGTTTCATCTTAATTGCTTTCCTTCAACTAACCACTAAGCCTGCATTTACCCAAAGTAGAGAGCGAGACAAATTTGATACCTTTCAATCTTTGACTTTGTCTTGAAAATAGGGCCACGTGGTAAAGATTGTGCTTGGTCTATTGTGTGACAGGAATGAACAGTAGATCAACAAAATCTGTTATGAAATGCTCTATATGAAGGCTACTTTCTGTGATGTTTTGATTCTTCTGGAAAACCAAGCTGCACATCTGTGACTCGATGTATCATTCAAAATAATAAATAGTACAAATGATAGAAAACCTTGGTAAAAGTAACATTTAAATCTCTTCGCCCCCCCCGCCCCCCACCCTCCATTGTGATCCTGTGGTCCTCCGATCAACTGTGGCAGTAGTCTTATTTCACGCAGTGGGTCACACAAAAGTACACCCCATTCACCATAACTGCGGCAAATCCACTTGGCAGTCAATTCATTTGATAAGACGCGGTAAATCCACTCAGAGTTTCTCCTCTTTTCTTGTGAGACTCTCATGTGCCAAGTTGAGAGAAAGTATTCCAGACCATTTCTGTGCAAGCCAAAACTCAAGACAGGTGAAATATTTTCTATATACAGTCCAAGACTGTCTTGAGTTCAGAATTTTGTTGAAAAATGACACGGTTGAATTGTAATACACAAAAACTGGTCCCATGTGGAACAGTTCTCCCTTTTTGATCATGTCTATGATTTAGATTAAGTAGTTAGCATTGTTTGGCCCAGTGCAATCCGCCCAGTAGTACTCAAACCGTGCTCTCCATCACCCACTCAGAGCTCTCTAAACTCGGCTTGTCATCCTCATTGTCATCGTATTGTAGTAGCATGCCATTCACTGACAAACTGCGTTTCGTCCAAATGTTACTGATCCTGCGAGGATAGCTGCCACGGCACTGTGTCGACCCCACATGACCCATGTCAAACGAATGGCTCCTTTTGGGTTTCCCTTCCTGGGGGAGCCCGAGCAGACGGCCCAGCATGGTGGTGGACTCCGCTCTTCCAAGTAGAGGTTCTTTGTCGGAAAGGGGCGCGACGGCTCCTGGAGTCATGGTAGTGGAAGCGGTGGAGGGGCCAGCTGCACCTTGACGGTCTCTGGTGATCCCTCGTAGCTCCATTGTGGTGAAGGCTCCTAAAAGGTGGTCCAAGTTTGGTTGTGGTTTGTGGCTGTGCCGGTGCCTACGGAATTTGCTGCTGGGAAGGGTGCTGCATTCAGCTCCCCGCATACTGTAGCAGTCACCGATCCTTCTTCCTGTTTGACTATCCAGTGAGTTGGAGGAGGATGACGATGAGGAGATGCTGCTCTGAAGGGATCCACATTTAAACTCGACCATTTCCTCACGCATGACCACCACGGCCGACTTGACTTGTGGCGGGGCGCCGTTGAACCTGTTCATACCCCCATTGGTCTGTGAGTAAGTATTACTTACAGTGGGTAACTTTATCGTCTGGATACCGCTGGTCACCTTATAGCGCACCATGAGGATGATGATAAACACCAGTAGCGTGGCCACAATGATTCCGCCAATGACCAAGATCATGGTGCCACCCAGGAAACCACTGTGAAGAGACTGGCATTGGGGATAGTCATCCGTGGTCATGAATTGGACACAGCCAACAATGTTGGTGGCTGTGAGCGTGGTGGCACTGTCATCCCAGATGGCCAATACACACAGATCATACTGCATGCCCGGGACAAGATTGGTGACTACGAAAGCTCTGTTAGTCATGGGAATCATCCTGTAAACACACAGATGAGAAAGAAAGACAGTGTTAAAACAGTGCACAGTGCAAATACTGTACTGTAGTCATTGGAGAATGCCTTACACAAGAGTCATGGTTTAGATACCGCACAATAAATGTACGGTGTTCCCTCACTTATCACGGTTAATGGGGACCGGGACCCTGCTGCGATAAGTGAAAAACCGTGATGGAGCGTTGGCTCCCCATGAATTTTCCTGTACGTTTATGTGGGTAGTAGCATGTTTAAAATATGTAAGCAGTATTTATAGTTTACATATGTAAGACACAGACTACAACAGGACATGTGTTTACTGAAATCTTTAATTATAAAACCTTATACGGTAATAAACATTTCATCAGTATTGCCTTCTGAGAGAGACAAAGAGACTTGTGTTACTCTCACTGTTCTCACCGCTCTGACGGTGTAGCTACCGTTAGCCTCCAGCTAGCTGCTGGCCAGCTATCCCCGTGCAGCCGATGTGTTTATAATAAGACAATTAATTGGTATTGATGAGGAGTAGGCAAAGAGGGACTTGCTGCTTTTTTTCCAGACAAGCCCAATCACCCCCTCTTTCTCTCTCTCGCTCACTTTCACTCTTGCACTCCCTCTCACTGTAGCATGTGCGCCTCCCCTCTCCCTGCACGTAGCAAACACAACAGATAAGAGAGTACACAGCTGACAAGACTCTGATCAGAGTCAACCACGCAATGACACACGAGGGAAAGTGCTGGGCGGGGCATCTAGCCAATCAGCTCACGGGATAAATCCACTCATGCTGTCATTGGTCGATGTCTGCGCCGGCAACCAATCATGCGTACAGCCGTGTACAAAACCTCTGAGTCATTAAGCATTTCTTTCTGAATACAGTACTTTGGGAAAAAAAAATGCGATGTAGTGAAGCCGTGATAAATGAAGCGCGATATAGCGAGGGATCACTGTATACCCATTGAAAACGTTGAAATATAAGCGAATAAATGGGCTGATAGGCGATTAAAATAGAATTCTAATTCTTCATGATGCAATGTGACTGCTGTTGAAAATGTTACAAGGTATTTATCAATTTAACAACAGTCTAGGGTGTAAAGTAAAGTACACATTGGGTTTGTTACTTTTTGCCATGTGGAGAAATCACTTGGTTAAGTTTAGGGCACGGGTGTCCAACAAATCGCTCTTTCTGAGGAGTTCGACAATGACGTGAGCATAAAGTGCCTTGGTATTTTTATTTTCTTTTATTAAGTCAGTTAACAGTCATCCTATCACTTTGTATTACCATGAAGCGAGACAGTTTGACAATCTCCAGCAAAAGACAACTTTGACTGTTGGCCTTTGGTTGCAGCAGTGATAAATTACAGGTTAATACTTTCGCCAATGTCAACAAAGGACAGCACCCCGGTTTGGAATGCTGAGTGCATCTTCTATTGAAAGGTGTTGACAAAATAAGTTTGTTGAAACGCAAAGATTAAAAACAGATGACAATTTATGTTCAGGCTGTCATTTTACATCGAAAACAACACACCAATGGTTTCAGCATCCTTCCATCATGAGTAGCCATCATTGACTTACTGGTTAAGTTTGTACTTAAAGGAGTTTGTTTGAGCTCGGACGGCATCAAAAACATTTACTATCTACACTATTAAGGTGGAGACGGTTGATTTTTCAATACAACTAAATAATAATGAATATTCAACAACATCAATGTACTTGTAACTCTCATTGTGAAAAAGGAAACCACTGCTCTATTTATATGTGGCAAAGCAAACATTTGAAGTTGAGTGTGGCTTTCAAATCAGTAATCTACAGTGCAATGTGTTTCCAATTGTTGTCGAATTTGCTGACGACATAATTGTTGAATCTGAAACATCACAGAAAAGGTCAAGGTTGTTCAAAATTATGTGAACCGTCGGTTTCTCAAAAAAACGTTGGATTCATTTAAATACCGTATTTTCCGCACTATTAGGCGCAACTAAATTCATTTAGTTTTCTCAAAAGCCGGCAGTTGGCCTTATAATCTGATGGGCCTTATATATGGATCAATATTCTGATTTCTTGGACATAGCATTTTAAATGTTTTGTAAAGTGCTTTGTTACAGCTGCAGCGGTTGTGAAAGCTCTGTATAAATAAAGCTGGATTGTCTTGTGTTCCCTTTAGTGTAGCTCTATCTAGTGGATGCATAACGCAACCGCAGCCACTATTGTAGCTTCTATTCTATGCACCTTATAATGCGGTGCGCCCAATATATGAAAACTGTTTTAAAATAGGCCATTCATTCGCCTTATACGCCGAAGCGCCTTATAGTGCGAAAAATACGGTACCTGGTTTGATCGTGTATGTCCCTTGGGCATGCTAAAAATGAAATGTCATGTTCTCCTCTTGGTCTCAAAAAATACATTGAGAATTTTTATTGAAGGTATTTGAATCATGTGCCACAAATGTACATATTGGAAGAGAGTACAAAGTAAGTTCAAATGACCCATTTTTTTGTCCTCAGTGTTATGCATTTACAAAGTACAAATATGTCTTGTCATAGTCTGCAGGTGATAAGCAGTGCCTAATTTCCTCCAAACACTTTGCTTAGAATTGAGGCCAAAGGCCCACGACACCACTGAGCAACACAGCCTAACGTGACTGAACTGTTTTGGCAGCGTGCAGGGCTCTTCAACTAGCAGAAAGCCTCCTTTGCGAAAATGCACGAGTGCAGTTAATAATGGTGCAATCATAGCCAACAGCCTCTTCAAGGGAAAGTCAAAAATTTTCTTGATAATATGTTCTATTCGGCCCCACTAATCTAAACATGACATTCTGATTAATATTGCGTTTGTGGAAAAGGAATTCAGAAGCAAAATTAAACCATTTTAAACCATCTCTGTTGCCAATTTGTCACTTGCTGTCAAGTGAAAATGACATCACAATTGCTCAGGGCTCAGCTTGCGAATATCGAATGACATGACAAGACCCAGAAAACAGGTTAGCAATGATTGGACGTTACCTGAACTGAGCCACTGTGATGTCCCTCTAAAAGACGGATGGATTTTGCTGCTTAATTCATATTCAACAAACGCAATATTAATCAGAGTGCCGTGTTCAGACTAGTGGGGGCGTGTAGAATATATGATCGTCGGCGTGTAGAATATATGATCGTCAAGAGATTGCAGCTGTAGCAGCCAGGGCAATCAGCTTCTTCCTTGTCAATCATGTAATTCCAGTTGTGGCTCAATAAAGAAAATAACAGAACCCGTGTGTGAAACCTCAAAATGTTTCGTGATAATACCAAGGGTCACAGTTTTTTTGTGTGCAAGTGTCCGTTGTCAGATGTGCGGGTGTGAGTTGCTGATCATAATTTGTCCGCAGTTGCCCAGTTCAGTTGCGCTTAGCCATATCGCTCGGTGTGCGGCGGGGCGAAAAGTTTAATCTTAGTTCCGTTCAACCGGACATCTTGTTTTTCACATTCTCAAAGTCCCTGAGGTATTTTTACAAACTGCTTTGGGGCTTTCATGAGGTTTCCTTCAAGCCACTGGGCCATAAAACCCAGCGCAGTGATGGGTTGCAATTAATGTTATCTCGAACTTTCTCCCGTCTTCCCCAAGGATTTCTGCAGCTCAACCAAAATGACTTTTTGGAGAGCTGACAAAGAATGAAACAGTAGAGAGTACCAGTTCAAGAAACAGTCTTGTACTTAAAGTGCCATGTACACATTATAGAGCATCCTGTCAAACATTTTACTTTAATTCGCTCAGAATTTATCCAGCCATCCATTTTCAACGCCACTTATCCTGAACAGGGTCGGGGAGAGTTGCTGGAGCCCATCTGACTTCGGGCGGAAGGCAGACGACATCCTGAACTGGTCGCCAGTCAGTCGCAGGGCACATATAGAGACAAACGACCATTCGCACCCACATCCACACCGTCACTGAGTGGGAACCGATCCCACGCTGCCCGCACACTAGTCAGGCCAGTGTACCACTACTGCATCAGCAACTCGGCTTAATTTATGATTATAATTATATCATTTCGATAATTCATCGTTCTTGCAAAGCTGCAAAATACATCTAACACTTTAGCAAGTGCAATAATGATCTATAAATAGGCAATTTTGCTGTTCATCTATCTCTATTCTTAGCTTTGATCCTTCTGAACTCCCTCTACCACACATACATTAATTGCCTTTTTCCATAATGAGGAAGAGACTACTTTTCCTCATGCATGAGGGACCTCATGCAATCTTTTCCTTCCCCCACAAGTCTATAATTCATATTCAATCTCATCATTGCAAGGCGTCGATGTGTCTAGCCCATTTTTGTGGGTGCTGAAGCACCTCGAAAGCAAATCAGAGCACCCCCAAAATTTGGGACATCTTGAGTTTTACTGTGCATGTCCTTTTTTACAAGCTGGAGAATAAAATGAAATCAAATCCAACTTTATTTGTACGTCACCATCCATACATAAAACATTAACGCAAAGTGCGTTAATATATATATCTGTGTGTGTCTGTGTGTGTGTGTGTGTGTGTGGCTCTTGTGTTTGTTTTGAAGACATGACGGGTCATGTTTTGTTTTATTCAAGTGTTTAGTCTAAATTATATTGCAGAAATCAAATTTGTAATTTTGTTGCTGTGAATGAAAAAGTTTTTTTTCTTTTTACATTATTATTTCATCTCACGTGCCTAATTGAATTTTTTTTTAATTCGAGTACCCCTGCCTTAGGTTAATGACTAATTGCAGGCACAAGTTAGCCAACCTTGAGTCCAATTAACGTGCCAAGATTTTGTTGGTTGAAGCTGCTCTGCCCGGAAAACAACAACAACAAAAAAACCCCACCAGGTTTGACTTTTTTATCTTAAAAACTCTTTGCTTTATGTGTACTATGCTTTACAAAAAACAGTCCGAAAAACAATGAGGATTAAGAATTGTAAACATGCATGAAGTCTGCGATTGGCTGGCAACCGGTTCAGCGTGTCCCCCGCCTACTGCCCGAAGACAGCTCGGATAGGCTCCAGCA